CAAAGAAGAATATGCTACACTTGATGAGACACATAACTTGAGTCTGTAACTTTATATATTAAATCCTTGCAAGAAGGTCTGAGTAAACCAAGTATTCTCCCGGGAAATAAAATACCATATTGCACTTAATGGAAATGCCCAGTGGCCTTTCCAGTCTGGTTTCAGTTACAAGTTGGTTGAATATTGGAATATGCTCATTTAATAAATGTTGCAAGGGGGCGATGGATGTCATCTGGGCCTGATGGTTTGCCCCTTGCCTCCAGAAGAGAAGCAAGAGAGACCAGAACTGTCCCTCCCCATGCTTGTGTGAGAAAGCAGACCCCCATGACACCTTTGGTTCAATTCCTGTTTCGCCGTAGCTTCACCCGAGGGAAGTGCTCCGAATGTTTCGTGACCTGGCTCAACAGCTATGACAACGATGCACAGGTTCTTCCCAGAAGCCTAGGACCATGAAAGTGTCAAGTTGGAGGGACTCCTCCCACAAGGCTCATTGAGTCTACCCCCTGCCAACACAGGACCCACAGCTAAGTCTTTCCTGACAGGTGGCCACGCAACCTCAGTTTGAAAACCACCAGCCTTCTGAGGTAGCCCGTTCTGCTCTTGAAGGTCTCTTCACCAGCAAGAAGATTGCCTAATGTTTCATCGTAATTAGAGCTGGTCACGAATCAGAAAAAATGGCCGTTCCTTTTGATTTGTCAAGGTCGAGGAATCACATATCGGGAATTCACGAATTCTTTTTGACTAATCCATGAATCGATTGGTTGATTCATTTTTAAAATTTAAAATCCTATAAAATGCCCCCCCTCCCAGCACCTAGGCACACCACATTTACAGAGAAGCTTCCCCTGACTTTCCTGCACAAGCCCTGAATGTTTGGTGAAGTTTAGATTTCGGAGGGCCGAGCGATACACCCAAAAGGAGGTCCCCTCAGGAATGATCCCCCTAGAGATACCAAAATCATGGAGAAGCTGAGAGGAGGTATAGTCAACACCCCCTAGAGATACCAAAATCATGGAGAAGCGGAGAGGAGATATAGTCAACTCTTATCAGCTATACTTCCTCTCAGTTTTCCCTTCCGTTACTCAGGAGTTTTGGACTGCAACTCCCAGAAGCCTTCACCACCAACTGTGCTGGCTGGGGTTTCTGGGAGTTGCAGTTCAAAAACATCTGAGTAACAAAGGTTAAGAACCACTGAGCTATACCTTCTCTCAGTCTTCCCTTCCCGAGACTAAACATGCCCAGTCCCCTCAACCATTCCTCATAAGACACAGTTTCCAAAACCTTTATCATGCTTGTCACCCTCCTATGGATATATTCCAACTCCAGGATATCCTTCTTAAGCTATGGTGCCTTCAGTAGGACTCAGTATTGCAGGTGAGGTGTGATCAAAGTCAAATATAGTCAAGGTCAAAAATACGACAGCAGGACGATTACTTCCACCGCTGCACTTCTGTTGATGCAGCCTAGATTTGCATCAGCCGGTGTGATCAAAGTCAAATATAGTCAAGGTCAAAAATACGACAGCAGGACGATCACTTCCACCGCTGCACTTCTCTTGATGCAGCCTAGATTTGCATCAACCTATTTCAACTCAGTATTGCAGGTGAGGTGTGATCAAAGTCAAATATAGTCAAGGTCAAAAATACGACAGCAGGACGATTACTTCCACCGCTGCACTTCTGTTGATGCAGCCTAGATTTGCATCAGCCTATTTCATTGCCACATCACACTAGGGACCCATGTTCAATCTAAGATATTAGGGCCACCCATTCTATAAGTTATTGTGCAAACTTATTTTTAAAAGCTGCAACTGTTTTGTGTCAGGACAACTTTGCCACCATGGTTCTTAACCGTTTCGTGAAAAATGTCTTGTTGAGCTTAATGCAGTGCTGTAGGAGAAGCTGGAGACAACAGGAAAAATAAGAAGACAGGATGTGCAATGGGTTGATTCCCTAAAGGAAACCATGGTCTTGCAGTGGCAAGATCTGAGCAGGACTGTTAATGACAGAATCTTTGAGAGGCCATTAATTCTTAGGGTTACCTTAAATTGGAATTAACTTGATGACACATAGGAGTAATAAAGGCTCTTTACATGGGACTGCCCTGCTAGCACAGCTGTTAGTTGTTCTTTTCAGTGCCAAGTTAAAATCGGGCTGTTTGCTCAAGCACTTGGCACTACATGGGTCTGCAACTGTTTTGTGTCAGGACAACTTTGTCACCATGGTTCTTAACCGTATCGTGAAAACCGTCTTGTTGAGCTTAATGCAATGCTGTAGGAGAAGCTGAAGACAGTGCAACTGTTTTGTGTCAGGACAACTTTGTCACCATGGTTCTTAACCGTATCGTGAAAACCGTCTTGTTGAGCTTAATGCAATGCTGTAGGAGAAGCTGAAGACAGCAGGAAAAATAAGAAGACAGGATGTGCAATGGGTTGATTCCCTAAAGGAAACCATGGTCTTGCAGTGGCAAGATCTGAGCAGGACTGTTAATGACAGAATCTTTGAGAGGCCATTAATTCTTAGGGTTACCTTAAATTGGAATTAACTTGATGACACATAGGAGTAATAAAGGCTCTTTACATGGGACTGCCCTGCTAGCACAGCTGTTAGTTGTTCTTTTCAGTGCCAAGTTAAAATCGGGCTGTTTGCTCAAGCACTTGGCACTACATGGGTAGGAACGGCCAATTTGGCGGTTCGTGGTGGTTCGTCCTTTGGACAAGCAAGCGTTCGGGGGTTCCCAGCCCCGCCTCCTCCAGAGGGTGTCCACTCAAAAGCAGCGCCCAGAGAAGGCGGGGCAGAGAAAGTGGGGTGCTGCCTCTGAGTGGACACTCTCTGGAGGAGGCGGGGCCGGGAACCCCCAAACGCCTGCTTGGCCAAAGGACGAACTGGCAAGAACGGCTGAAACTGCCCGTCTCCACTTCGATTCTAGTGAGATCATTGCTTGTTGGGCTTTGTGTCTGGATTACCAATTCATTTTAATTTGTTTTAAAGAAGTGTTTCTCAACTTTGTTTTTGAGTCACAACCCCCCTTTTACAATAGCCAAGCAACCCATGATACCCCACCACATTTGCATAAAAAGATATTTTGAATGGCGTAAAAGAAAGCACATTCAAATAGATTTTTTCCCCCAGAATATATAATTATAACCTAATCTATTCATGTAATAATACCTAATTATGGAGGGGTTGTAAATCTACCAGATAAAGTGTGAGGAGGGAGGGGGAAATGTCAAGACACTTTTGAGTTTAATTTAATTTTTTGGAGGTGGAGATAACCCTCTGTTCATGTCTCCTGGCCCCAAAAGCCCCCTCAGTGAAGAGCGCCCATCCCCTCGAGGCCAAATTTTTGAGTCCAGCTAACGCTCTGGGCTGAAGGGGCTATTGTCAATATTTCAAAGGTGGATGTGGAGGAGCAGAGAGAAGCGAGTGAGAGCAAGTCCTTGGGAGGAGATAGGAGTGATGCACAGATAGGAAAGGAAAATCCATCCGAAGGGGTACAGAAATAACAAAGAACTTTACATTGCTTCTGTCGTCCGAGAGGGTTAAAACAAACTTGAATAAATAATCTTGAATAAATACATAGATACATAAAATTGAATAAATAAAATAAACTGGAATAAATAAAACTGAAACTAAAAATGAATGCAGTGACACCCCCCCCCCCAGAAAACACTTTGAGACCGCATGGGGGGGTGGTGGTGGTGTCAAACCTTCCAGCTTGGGAAAATTTTAAAGCATTTTCATTGTTGAAGAGTCTTGTCTGGTTATTTTATTGATTGCACCCTGTCTTGATACCAGTTGGCATAGGGTGGGTTAGAAATGTTTAGAAATGAATACAGCAATTAAAATGAAAAGTAATTATTTATACCTAGAGTTTGGGACATAATTAATTAGCATTAGAGTGGCACAGTTTGAAAACACAATCCAGAAAGACTGGTTGGTGGCATACTGTATTTATGTGGAGTGATGGAAATTTCACAGACATGTGCAAGCTTTCAATGTCTTGACATTTTTCCATCGGAAAAGGTGGTGTATAAAACCTGATAGATGAACACAGCCATTTACCGCCCCCATACACCTCTTTGTTGCTGGAACACCCACAGAACAATGTGAGACATCAGCAAAAGGCACCGTGAACTAACACGCGAACAATGTGATATTTCTCTGCCGCCATTTATATCCAGAGCACATCCCCATAACTATAAAAGGAAATGCAATACATTTATGTCACAAAAGAAGGTAGCCCTTGCTAAGTTAACATGGTAAGGTAACGTAGTAGTTCCTGTTCTTGGAAAAAAGAATTTGTTGCATTTGGATTAGGAAATATTCAGAATTCACTGAGTAATGCCATATTCAAATCATTCCAAATCTATCTCAATTCCAATTTGAAAACATCCCTAGCCCGTCAGCTGCAATGGCCTCACCAGGTGTCAGGACTAGGAGTTCTGACAGGTGAGCAATCCCTGTTAGGAGCCTGCAGTCAAAAACTGGAACTCCCAAGGAGTCGATAATCTGGAAGCCTTTTCAGCAGTGTGCAAACGATGCTCGCAGGGCGGAGTGCATGGATTACAAGAAGGTGCTCAAGCATGGGCAGAATGTGAGCCACCTCTCCAGATAAGCAGCACGCTCTGCCGCCTGAAGGTCCAACCCAGGGCACTGCTGTTGGCAAACGAAGTGGGTCCTGTGGGGGCAAGTGGCTTCCTTCTTGTGAAGGGTAAGAGCCATCAGAGGGAAGAGCCCAAGCCACCTGCCCAGGAAAGTAGGGTGGTAGGTGAGCAAATAGCGAAAGGTGGCAGGCAGCAAATGCCAGACCCACATCTAAATGGTGGCAGGCAGCAAATGCCAGACCCACATTTAAATAATAAGTTCCAGACTACCCTGGAGGAGTTTGGAGTGGTGCAGAAAACGGCCTTTTAAGTTCCAGGCTACCCTGGAGGAGCTTGGAGTGGTGCAGAAAAAGGCCTTCTGCAAGCATACAGGATTACTCGTCCCCTAGGGGAGATGACCTCCCTGGATGACCAGCTGTTCTCTCTTGGTGTGGAGAACACTGGTTTCCATAGGTTTGTGGCAGAACTGGCTCCCCATTACCAGTTGCCATCCCAGACAACCCTTAGCCGCAGGGTGGTGCCAGCTTTAGACTTTGACGTCAAGCGATGGATCCAGCAGCAGTTGGCCAGGGCGGAGGTGGTGCCTTTGACAAGGGACCTCTGGAGCCGCCAAGGTATCAAACATGCCTGTCTCCCTCTGACAGGGCACGGGTGGGAGGTGGAGGCATCAGGCAGGAGGGGGAAACACCCAAGGGCAGGATACAGGTGGGCCCTGTCAAATGTGGCTGTGATGGAGGGCAACCACACCGCTCGCAGCATCCAAGAGCCTCTGAGGGACAGGCTGCAGCTGTGGAGTCTAGCGA